GAGGGGAAGGTCACTTTCCTCAGATATCCTCTACACTGGTTTTCCTGTCAGTTTTCATCAAAACTAAAAACACTACAAGGTTTTGCTTTGACCCTGTGATCTGGGAAGTGCAGGCAGGTGATGGTTGAGGTTGTGGCCCTGCTTGAAGACTTCAGAACTGTTGGAAATGCATGCAGTGGTTTTGCAGCCCCAGGTCTGAGGTTTGAACATCTTAGTTTGTTGAGTAATTGTTATAATGACCCTTTTCCCTGCCTTCGATTACTTAAAACCCTGTTCTGCTGTTCTTTGCACCTTTTTAATTGTTCTTCTTTGTCTTTCTGATGATGATAGGAAAACCAGAACTGTACACAGTGTCCAAGATATCAACATCCAGTGGATGTACTCAGTGAAAATGCTGATGTATTTTGTTCTGTTTACTTTCAGTGGTTTTGGTTGCCATTGAACTTCTACCTAGTGCTTCCACAGAACTGACTAATATTAGCCCCAAGATCTTTTCCCTGGGCAGAAAGAGCTGGCTCGGACCCTTTTGTGTGTGTAAAGCTGGGATTATTTTTTCATTTTAGCTCATTGATTCAAATTTATCTGCAGTGAATTTTATTTACCATTTTATTGTCCCATCAGAGTCATGAGTTCCTTCTTATCTTTTTGTTCTCCAAAGAGAAAATAAAAATTGTTCTAATTCTGTACTAGCTGTCTGGTAGATTAAGTCATGTTCAGGAAGTATTTCAGGAAGCGAACATTATTATCTTTTGTTCTCTATATCACAGTGTAGTTATAGCAGTAACAACTGTTCTTTATAGGCAGATTTTAACACTTGAACTACATGACACTGATTTCTGGTTTCATAATAGTGTGTTATTTTGTAGGCTTAATATCTACATAAGTGATCATTTCGGCACAATAGCTCTTGACTCTCATCTTTAATAAATACGCTGCTGGTTGTCTGTTCCACGTACAAGGCATACCACTGTTGGGGTGCAAGCCATTTCAAAATGGTTTTGCAGCCTAGGTCAGAGTTGCAAATCACTGTTCCAGTCTTTCTTGGTACGTGTGTTATGTCATTCCTGTCTCACTTCCAAAAAATAAGCCTCTCTATATTGAATAAGTAAAAATGTGCACATGATACTTGAACTTGAAATAATAAGACAGTTTTTGAAATGAGCTGTGCCTGTTCACATTTTCTACTCTCATTTTCTTTCAAGTCCTGCTTCTCAAGTATTTCTGGAGGAAAAAAAAAAAACTATCCAGAAGTTGTTGTTAACCTAGGTAGTGCTTCCCAACCTGGACCAATTCACCTATCTGTTGGAGTACAAATACTCACATGCATCCCAACATAGATTATTTATATTTTAATATATAGAAAATTTACTTGGTTATACCTATCATAGCCTTAAAGGTGGGCTCTGAAGACCTGAAGAAAGATTTGGACACATGATGTTGTCTTTTTCACCTATGCTTGTCTAAGTATAGATAACACCTTTCCTAGTAAGCATATATTGTCAGGGTTATTCTGTGCTTACTCCAGAGCACTGCAAATTCTTGTAGATGAAGCCTATTTGCTCCTATTTTGTGTGTATTTTCTCTAATAGAAAATAGCGTTAATGAGTTTATGCTATTTATTCAGCAAGTTTTGAAGAGCAGTAGAGGAACTGACAAGGTACTTACTTCCTTCTGCTGTCACTTGGAAGTGTTCATAGAATCATAGAATGGTTAGGGTTGGAAAGGACCTTAAAGATCATGTAGTTCCAACTCCCCTGCCGTGGGCAGGGACACCCTCCACTACACCAGGTTGCCCAAAGCCTCATCCAACCTGGCCTTAAACACTTCCAGGGATGGGGCATCCACAACTTCTCTAGTAGTAAACTAAGTGTTGGGAAGCTGTCTTATTATAGAAAATAACATTGTTCTGTTTGGAACGTTTTTTGTGGTTTTGAAGATCAGATACTTCTGGGAAACAATTCAAAGAGGTTCTAATATTTACTTGTTCAAGTTTTTTGCAAAACATTGTATACATGAAAGTATATGCGATTGCACTGGCCATTTACAAGATATTTTTTCTGCTAATGCTGATGACTTTATGTGGTGTTATCACAATGAATGACTAATTGATAAGGGCTTTCCATGAAGAATTGCAGTGACCACATTGATTGTGATCTCAGACTCAAATTTCTGATTTCATAAGATAGAAATAGCTGCCTAACAGACTAGTTTTAATACATAAAGTATGCATAACAGCTACCTGCTGTAAAATATGGTAATTTAAGTCTATTTTTTTAAAGTAATAACTTATTAACTTTATTAGCTATTTTGCTTCCATTCCAAAAGCATTTTCCTTACTTTTGCAGAGCTGCAGGTTGTATGCAACAAAACACTTACGAGTATTACTGAGAGCAAATGTAGAGTTCTTCAGCAACTGGGGGATTGAGTTACTGGTGACCCAGTTACATGACAAAAATAAAACTATTTCTTCTGAGGCACTTGATATTCTAGATGAGGCATGTGAAGATAAGGTGAGCATCCCTTCCCTTTTCACCCTCTTTTTGGTATGCTACTGTGTAAGCTGTGCCCCACCTCATCCCCAATAGCAAAATGAAAGTATGCAAAACTCATAGTTTCCTTTCTTGATTGTCATTGATAGACTTCATAATAGCTTAAAGACCCCCTTACTGAAGATACTGCCGTATTAATGACAAGAAAATGTAGACTTCTGGATTATGCCTACTTTTCAATATAAATTCAGACTAATTCAGCTATTTTGATCATTATACTTTCTGTGAAGTAGTATATATTTAATGACACAAGGTACTTAAAGTGTATAATATTAGGATGAGGTTAGTGCTGTTTGATACTTCCTCTTGTGAAAAACTTGCTGCTTCATTGCTGACAGATTGTTGTAATTGTAGTTTTCAGAATTATGCAGTGCTCAGATACTCCTTATGTATTTTTAATTATTTTAGGCCAATCTTCACGCCCTTATCCAGATGAAACCAGCTCTTTCTCATCTTGGAGACAAAGGCTTGCTTCTACTGCTAAGGTAAATGTTGACTATGCGTTTGACTTTACACTGTGGAAACAAATAACGTGGTGTGTTTTAAGTAGGATACTAACTGTCTGATGTTACTTTACAGATTTCTGTCCATCCCAAAGGGTTTTTCGTATCTAAATGAAAGAGGTTATGTAACAAAACAAATGGAAAAGTGGCAAAAGGTAATGCAAAGAGTAAAAAGTGTGCTTGGTATTAGGAGGAGGAAGGGTGTGAATATGCAGGCTTAGAAGGTCAAAGATTGTTAAAAATATAGCATATTCATATATGTGTATTGCAAATGCCAATACATTTATTGCTTCAGTGACTTAACAATTTTACTGAAAAAGGTTGACGGGACTCAGAGTCCCGTAGCTCCTCTGTACATGAGTGCTTCTGATTTACCCAGGCCTTTTATATAATTTTAATTTCAGCAAATACTTCAGGAGTGTGATGACTTTCTAAAATAGGTTGTTGCGTAAGGTCTTATATAGAGAAGTGTGTATAGGAATACTGCTTTTCAAGATACCTGTTACCTCTGGTTTTTGCTAATTAAATCTGGAGCTCATAAAGATAAAATTAGCTTATGCTGTTAGGAAGTAAATAGGAACACAAGACCATAAGAAAAACACATCATTTTCATGACTCTTCATGCATTATTTTGTTTTCATAATTGATTGAAGTGCTTGGTCTCATACCTGTTGACAACTTTTTTGTTAATTTATAAGCTCTCAGTTCTCTAAGAATACTGAAATGTGTAGTGAGATTATTTGGGTTAAAGTCAGGTGCGAAGTATTTCCTTCTTTCCTTCCTTTTTTAACAAATTTACTGAAATAATTATGGAATCAATTGTTGACTCTGTAAACTCATTGTATGTATGAAATGCAGTAATTTTGGTGAGCTTCACCTTCAGATCATAAAGAAATTCAGCCTTCCTTAAGGAACTTTCAGTTATTCCTTCCTTATAAAGTACCATAATATAAAACCAAAATTCCCTAAATGTATCGTGTCAACATTTGTCTGTCTTCTTTTAGGAGTATAACTTAAAGTATGTTGAATTGATTGAAGAACAACTTAATGAAGCACTTACAACATACCGCAAACCTGTTGATGGTGATAACTATGTTCGTCGAAGCAACCAAAGGTAAATTTGGGAAAATGTGTCTTTGGACATAAGCTGGTGGGACTGATCAAGAGAGCTTTACACTAGAATCAATGAGTGAAGGGGATACCAACAGCTTTGCAGTAGGTAAGCCAAGGGTTGGTGTGGCATCACCTGAGGGTGGCAGTGCTAGTGGGAGCGTTTACACTGCTCATGGGAGCATGAAGGGCTCGAGAGCATATCTGAAATGCTTGTACACCAATGCACACAGTATAAGAAACAAACAGGATGAACTGGAAGCATTGGTCAGTTCCCAGAGCTATGATATCATTGGTATTAGTGAGACTTGATGGAATGAGTCCCATGATTGGAGTGCTAGGATGGAGGGCTACAGGCTGTTCAGGAGGGATAGGCAGGGCAGGCAAGATGAAGGTGTTACTCTATATGTAAGGGAGAGGTTTGATTGTACAGTCCTTAGAGTTAGTGATGATGTGGTTGAGAGCCTCTGGGTGAGCATTAGGACGATGGGAAACAAAGGAGATCTTGTAGTGGGTGTCTACTACTGGTTGCTCAGCCAGGATGTTAGCTCTGGTGAGTTATTCTATAGGCAATTAGGAGAAATTTCTGGATCTGTAGCCTTTGTCCTTATGCGAGATTTCAACTTCCTTGGCATCAGCTGGGATTACCATACTTCCGTGGTGAACAGGTTTTCGAAATTCTTGAAGTTTGTGGGAGGTAATTTCTTGTCACAAGTACTCAGTGAGCCAACTGGGAAAGATGCCCTCCTAGACTTGCTATTTTTGAATAGAGAAGGGGGATGTGATGGTAGGTGGCTGTCTTGGCCACAGTGATCGTGAAGTGGTTGAGTTTAAAATTTTCTGTGTAATGAGAAGAAAAGGACAGGAGAGTTGCTACCCTGGACTTCAGGAGCGCAAACTCAGGAAGCCCTTTAGTAGACTACCCTGGAATTGTGCTTTTGAGGGCTTGGGAGTCTATGTTAAGAGCTGTCTTTCCAAAAGCAGAGGAGCAGGCAATCGCATTGTGTTGTAAGCCAAGCAAGCAGGGCAGAAGACCATCTTAGCTGAACAGGGAACTCTTTGTGGACCTCAAGAGGAAAAACAAATTGTATGGTCTCTGGAAGCAAGATCAGGCTTCACAGGAAGGTTGTAGAACTGTGCTTCATATATGCAGGGAGAAGAGAAGAAAAGCCAAAGCTCAGTTAGAATTGAAACTGGCCAGTGTTGTGTCAGATTACAGGAAACACTTTTTTTAAAGTACATTAATAGCAAGAAGAGATCTAAATATAATATTGGACTGGTACTTGTTTAAGACGGTTACCTGCCTAACAGGGATGAAGAAAGAGCGGAGGCGTTCAATACTTTTGCCTCAGTCTTTAATAGCACTGGTAGACCTTGCGCTGCCCAGTCTTCTGAATAGGAGGACCACGAGTGCTGGAACAGTGACTTACCGTTTGTGGGCACTGAAGTTGTAAGGAACCAGCTGTATCAGCTGAATGTTCCACAAATCCATGGGACCTGATGAGATTCATTCTGGAGTACTGAAGGAGCCAGCATATGTTCTGGCAGAGCCTCTCTCGATCATCTACCAAAGGTCTTGGGAGTCTGGGGAGGCCTCTGCTGACTGGAAGCTAGCCAGTGTTCCAGTTTACAAGAAGGGCATAAGGGAAGACCCTGGGAACTGCAGATGTTAGTCTAACCTCAGTTCCTGGAAAATCACAGAGAAGATTATACTGAGCACTGTTGAAAGACGTGTAAAGAATACTATAGTCATCAGACACAGTTAACATGGGATCACAAAGAGAAAATCCTATTTAACTACTGTGATATTCTTGCATGGTAAGGTCACCCATCTAGTGGATAAGGGAAAGCAGTGGGTGTAGTTTTTCTGGATTTTAGTAAGGCTTTTGATACTGTTCCTCACAGCAGCCATCTGGACAATTGCCAAACTGTGGCATGAGCAGGTTCATGGTGAGCTGGGTGAAGAACTGGCTGAAGGGCAAGGATGAAAGGGTTGCAGTGAATGGGACCACATCTGGCTGGTGACTGGTCACAAGTGATGGTCCTCAGGGTTCAGTTCCAGGGCCAGTGCTGTTCAATATATTTGTCAATGATCAGGATGCAGGAGTAGAATGCACCGTTAGCGAGTTTGCTGATGACACCAAACTGGGAAGTGGTGTTGGCTTTCTTGAGGGACAAGAGATGTTGCAGAGGCATCTAGATAGATTGGAGCATTGAGCAGTGATTAATAGGATGAAATTTAACAAGTCCAAATGCTGGATTCTGCACTTAGGACAGAGCAACACCAGACACAAGTATAAATTGGGAGAGGAGTGGCTGGAGAGCAGCCCTGCAGAAAAGAATCTGGGGGTGCTGGTTGGCAGCAGGCTCAATGTGAGTCAGCAGCGTGCCCTGGCAGCCAAGGGGGCAAATCACATCCTGGGGTGCATCAAACAGCATAACCAGCCAGTCAAAAGAGGGGATTATCCCGCTGTGTTCAGTGTTGGACCTCACTTTGAGCACTGTGTGCAGTTGTGGGCCTCACGATTTAAGAAGGATGTGAAGGTCCCTGAATGCATCCAGAGGAGGGCAACAAGGCTGGTGAGAGGGCTGGAAGGCATGTCCTGTGAGCACTGACTGAGGACTTTGGGCTTGTCTAGTTTGGAGAAAAGGAGGGTGAGGAGCAACCTCATGGCTCTCTACAGCTTCCTGAGGAGGGGATGCTCTAGGAAGGTGCTGAGCTCTTCTCCCTCATATCCAGTGACAGGACACGTGGGAATGGTTCAGAAGTGTGCCAGAGGAGGTTCAGACTGGACATTAGGAAGCATTTCTTTACAGAGGGGGTGGTCAGCCACTGGAACAGGCTTCCTAGGGGTGGTTGATGCCCCAAGCCTGTCAGTGTTTGAGGCATTTGCACAAGGCCCTTAATAACATGCCTTAATTTTTGGTCAGCTGTGAATTGGTCAGGCAGTCAGCCTAGATGATTGTTGTAGGTCCCTTCCCTCTGTTCCCTTCCCTTCTCAATTCTCCAAAAGAATCTTCTTCATCTGAAAAACCTCAAGAGTAACTTACTGCATTACACTGTAATTGATTTTAAAATAAAATGTTAGAATTGCTGAAAAAGCATATGATTTCTCTTTCTGCCAGATTACAGCGACCACATGTCTACCTTCCGGTTCACCTTTATGGCCAACTGGTGCACCATAAAACAGGCTGCCATTTATTGGAGTCTCAGGTGAGGATAATATCTATTTATAACTTGAAAGATTTTAGAGTACTGTAACCCTTTTAAAATATGTTTTAAAAGGGATGGCATTTAAATAGTTATTGCAAAATAATTTGATTATGAAAGTCTTAAGTTAGATGGGGCAAAAAGTTGTGAAGACAGTCTTTGCCACCTCGTCTCATGTAAAATTCCTTCCTGACACTGAAATACCAGAAAAATACCATGCAATGTTTTTCTTAAAATGACTAGCAAAATCTTAGAATGGAAAGCAATAATATCTCAGAAAGAAGAAGAAAATCTTCCTTCTAATATCCTGAAAAGTGAAGAAAAGAGACGCTAAGGCAGTTGATAGTTGCTTAAATGAATTCACTTTTAATGTGGGTTTGCAAGATGATGTAATGAACTGAATATGATAATCGGAAAGTTCAAGAGAAGGCTTATATATTGCAGTGTGTTGGTCTGATTAATGTGTTGTCTTTGTAAAATCTGAAATAACTTGATGCAATCATTGGTTACATTAAAATTTTCCACTTGCATTACCATTGCAGTTAATTTATGCTGCTTATTCCAGAACTGCCACTGTTCATTTTAGGTGCATACTTTAAATTAGTGATTTGCCTTTTATTAAAAATGCAAGAGAACCTGTTTGAGGTCCCCTTTTCATTTTCAACTGACCTTTTTTTTGTTTTTCTTCTGTTTTTTTCTCCTTCAGAGCATTGTTACAGATCTAAGTTACACTGTTCGTTCCCCAATGCTGGATAAGTGGGAAGGAATTAAGCAGCTGAAAGCAGCCCTTTGGGCCTTGGTTAGTAATAGATTTACAAAGTTTTTGCACTTGTTTGAGTTCTGCTACGACTCTTGATTCTGAAATAACTAAGCAAAATCCCATAAATTCTTTAATTAAGGTTTCTGTCCTAAAACGTGTGATTTTTTTCCAAGTTAGTGTTCTGTACCCTAACTGGACTTTCAGTTGGTAGTGGTTCGTTGCACCTTTTTTACAGAAAAGACATTTTTTCTTTTCTCTATTTTTTCTTTTTTAAGAAAGAATAGATTGCCACATTAGCAACAGTATTAGTATGGAACCAGCGGTTACGAGTTGCTGTGGTCTGATTTTAAAGTGTTTACTGTGGTGGTCAGTAATTCAGTGTTTCTGGAAGAAAGTTGGCTGCCACTGTTGATGCATTTGAATATAAATGGTCATGACACCCCTGGTACGTGGGATAGGCGAAAACCTAGTGTCTGTGCCTATCCAAGCTACACTTCTAAAGCTGCTTTGCCACCTCAAGTGTTTGTGTGATTCCTTCTGGTCTTCCCCAAAGTTTATTTTGAAACATTTGTCTAAGGTGACGCTTACTAGAAGATGTTGTAGGTATGCAGTAAAATGCCTGTGTAAGTGGAATGTAAACAAAGTTCATACTGCTGGCTGTAATAGAATTGGTAAAATGAGGAATAAGTAGCAGTTAGCTGTGGGTGGTTTTAGATGTTACACGTAGTATGCCAAGTCCTTTTTTGGATTTGAATGACTAGGACATGCAAAAAAGGGTGCTCAGATCTTTTAATTGCTTTGAGAAGATATGTCTTGAAACTATACAACCAACAAACAAAAATGTCAAAAGCATTACACTAATAGTGCCGCAAACTGCATAAAAATCAAAGCTTACTTGACAAACTTTTATTCCAGGGCAATATTGGATCATCAAATTGGGGTCTTAACTTGCTTCAAGAGGAGAATGTAATTCCTGATATAATGGCACTTGCCCAACATTGTGAGGTTCTCTCTGTTAGAGGGTATGTGTATCTGATTAATACCTAAAATTTACAGATGGTAGTTGCCACAGGTTTTCAAATAGCTTTACCTGATCTATATGAATATCGTTTTGCACTTACTTGGAAATCAATTCTTAAAGATCATTGATGACTGACTATCAATCTCAGTCCTATATAATCGCAGAATTGTATAAAAAGTATGAAAGAACGTGTAATAGTCAAATGAAGCCTATGAAAAAAGATACGTACTACTTTTATCCTTTTTAAAAAAACAGTTAAAATATTTGCTTCTAACATCTCTGTTGGAATCAATTTATTATTCAATCATTTTATTCAATATATTTTTGAATCTGTAAAAAGCATATATAGATTGTCTTTTGCGTAATATCGCTACTGCATTAATGTTTGTTTGGTTTTTTGAGAAAGGTACTTTTCTACTTTATGTAATCAAACTCTTACAATAATTAGTTTTTATTTTTAAATAGGGTATTCTCAGATATTTTAGTGCATTTCCTAAACTTCCATTATTTACCAATAAAAATGAACAGAAAACTACTTGGCAGTTTTGTGAAGTTTCTGCTGAATTGTTTTGAAACTGTTTCCTTTCAAAAGAGAAGTAAGTTTAGTTAAATTAGATGCTATTTTTGTTGCTTTTTTTTTCTATATATACATTAAATACAGAACCTGTGTGTACGTGCTTGGTCTAATAGCCAAAACTAAACAAGGATGTGACATTTTGAAGCACCACAACTGGGATGCAGTGAGACACAGTCGTAGACAGCCTTGGCCAGTGGTTCCTGATGACATGGAGCAGCTCTGCAATGAACTTTCGTCTATACCCAGCACTCTTAGCTTGAACTCCGAGTCCACCAGTTCTAGGCATAACAGTGAAAGCGAATCTGCTCCTTCAAGTAAGTAACAACAAAACAAACAAACTCACTCCCCAAAACCCACCACGAAACAGCATAAGGAATATTATGGGATATAAATACATATATTCTGTGTGTATATATACACACAGAGTACTCCTGTATTTAAACTCTTGTATATTTTGAGTATCTAATACATTTTAATTTTGCTATGGATATTTGGAATTTAAATTCAGAAATAACGCCGTATTTAGGTATCATTAAAGCATTATATTGGTTGTAATCATAGTGACTGGATATTTGCACTGAAATAACATAGTGTGGCTTTTCTTCTGAAGCAATGAGACCTTCAGCTCAGGGACTCCTCAAGATACTTAATTTATACTACTAAGCTCTGCAGCAAAAGTGTGGAATTAAAATTGCAGTAAATCACAGTCTCCCACTTTGGCTTCTATAGAATTGCTTACTTTTTTTCAACATAGTTTATACACATTGAAGAAATGTCCATTTTCCGTGACAAAATCTCATATAATTTCAGGTATGTTCATCATGGAGGATGACCGTTTTGGTAGTACTTCCACTAGTACATTCTTCCTAGATATTACTGAAGATGCAGAACAAATATTTTATGACAGACCTGGACCTTCAAAGGACAAAGACCGTAGTCCCTTTCCTTTTTTTTCTTCTAGTAGACTTGTGAAAAATCGCATTCTAAACTCTCTTACTCTACCTAATAAAAAGCACAGAAGTAGCAGTGATTCAAAAGGAGGAAAGCTGACATCATCTGACAGTAAATCAGGCCTCAGGCGAAATCGTACAGTAACAGAACCTTCCAGTAGCATAGACTTTCCTGCTGGGGAAGAATTCAACCCTGTTTTCAGAGTTCCTAAAATCCAGACTTTACGATTAGAAACTTCTTTTGTTGGAAGCAAGCACATGGAAGATACTGATAGCACCCCAAGTATTGGAGAAAATGATCTGAAGCTGCCAAAAGGTCTTGGAAATGAAATTCACCGGGAAAACACAAGCAGAGAAAGGCTAATAGGAGATGGTACTACACAAACACATTTCAAGAGTCGTAGCTTAAGTTTTAATACAGATACCACAACAAGTGGCATAAGCTCAATGAGCTCTAGCCCTTCAAGGGAGACTGTAAGTGTGGATGCTACAAATATAGATACTGACTGTGGAAGTTTGAGTACTGTGGTAAGCACGAAAACAGTAAAACCAAGTCACTGTTCAACACCACAGTCTAACCACCTGCCTCTCTCAAAATCCAACTCGGTATCCCTCGTACCTCCAGGGTCTTCTCATACACTTCCCCGAAGAGCCCAGTCTCTTAAGGCTCCTTCTCTTGCTACAATAAAAAGTCTTGCTGACTATAACTTTAGCTACACGAGTTCTCGGGATGCCTTTGGCTATGCTACGCTGAAACGCTTACAACAGCAGAGGATGCATCCTTCACTGTCTCACTCAGAAGCCCTAGCATCTCCAGCAAAGGACGTGCTGTTTACTGACACTATTACCATGAAGTCTGGCAGCCTGGATTCTCGGCTAACCCCAAGCCGGTAAGAGGTTATTGTGTGCTCATTTCTTAATTCAGAGCTGTAAGAGCAATTAACTAAGAAAAGAATCTTTCTAATATTCTTTTCGGACTTCACCTTAAAAGTGACAGTTGTTGCAAGGTGATTCATAACTTCACTGAAAGCAGTATCGATATTACGAGAATAGTATAATGGAGTGAGAATTCTCAACTTTAAGTGCTGTCAGAGAAGTCTGGCTTTCATGGCTCTGCTCATCCCCTTTAATGCTGTTACTTTCAAAGGAAAATGTTTCCTCTTACCATATTTGCTTCCTGTTTATTTTTTTTTAATATTTAAGTAGAGTTACACTGCTAACATTGCTCAAGTTGGAGTCACACAAAATTGCCGATGTAGTCAGAGCTGTATTTCAGAAGAGAATTTTCTCAATGTCACTTGGTGAGGTTTTAGGACAGGGACTCCTGCCAGTATGCTATATTCGTGTTCACTGTTGCACATTGAGGCCAGTGATGAGATACTGGTCCCACTGACAGGAATGGCATTTTGGCTTCCTAGCTACAACAGAGTAAAGACTTTACTCACAGCGTTTATTTTTAGATGGCAGTGTCACCTCTTTATTATTGAGTAATATTAGATGTTCTGAAGACTAATTGGATAGTTACGTAAGATCTAGCTCATGACATTGACACTGTTCCCAGCAGCTAGAGTCAGCGCTAAACAACTTTCTTGTAAAAGCTCTTCTACTAAATCTTTCCTTGTAAATCATCTTTTAGCTAATGCATTGGATTTCACGTTACTATTGAAAAGGAAAAGACACTTTCTGTCTCTGTTCTTACCTAAACATCCTCTCTCAGATGAAAGGGGAGAAGCTACCAGTACGTTCGTTGTCTGTGATCTGTCGTCACAGAACAGCAGTTGCCCAGTCCCAGAACTGCACTCTGCATACCCAGTTGAGTGTGTACAGTGCCTGTTTATTACTATGCATTTTTGTCCTGATTAAAAGCAACATTAATTTGTTGTTATTTTCTTGGTTCTGCAAAGATTCCATAAAACATAAGGTTTGTTCCCTTCGTTCAGTTAAGCTGAACCAGACTGAGTGTGCTCATTAAATTAAGGATGATTCAGCAGTTAAGCTGCACTATCTGGAAATCAGAGTTTCTGTTTCTTGCTCTGTTGCTGGCTTCCTGTGCTAACACAGGAACAAATCAGTGTCATTTCAGTGACAGTACAGGTTCTGTTGAGGCTGTAGTAATGTGGTACCATTCCTTGCAGTCAAAGCAGACCTGCTGCAGTGGACTTTCATCGTGAGACTCTGCACGCAGTGTAGTACTAACAGTATTCCTGGTGCTTCGCTGTTGTGATCTTTTCTGTCAGTGGTTAGGCTCAAGGGTTTGAGCTGACCTGTTTAACATTGAAGTGAAATGGCTGGCGTGCTCGTATCTCTGAGAAGGTTAAAAAATTGCACACATATGTATTACAAGAGATTGTCAGATAGTGTTGGTTACTAATATAATAGAGAAAGACTCTGATGTAAATAATATGTGGTTTTTTTCTTATTGGTGACAGCTGAATGTCTGCACTGAATAATTGTGGTCCTTCTAATTTCAGAGTATGTTACTACTTCCAGCTAAATATTGTCCTTGAATGCTGTTTAAGTAATAAATTAGAAAGAAATATTCTGTCCTTTTTTTGTCTGCCAAGGTTACTTTTCTGTTCAGTCTTCAGAAAAATGTCCGGTTCATGCTTCATTGACAAATTCATGGGATCATAGCAACTAGCAGCTGAAAATTAATTTTTGTGATGTTTCTAGTTGTTCTTTTAATTCAGAAGGTTGAACATCTTGTTTCTTTCCATAAATTATTTTATGAGGCTAAATTTTCCACCTTCGTCTTTAAAGACCAGCGAAAAGTATTAATGTGCATATCTCAAATCCTAATCATGTCTCTCACCTGCAGACATGCTTTCATGAAAACTTACTGGTGTTTATCACTACTAATGATATATCTGTTATCTTTTCCAGGAAAAGCAGGAACAAATGTTTAGGATTAATACTTCCATCTCTAATTTTATGTTGAGAGTAATGGTAGAATGCTTTATTATGAAATAACTAATGGTTGATTTAGCTTTTTGGATTTTAGAATCATAGAATCATTTAGGTTGGAAGACACTATTAAGATCAAGTCCAGCCATAAACCTAACACTGCCAGGTCCGCCACTAAACCATGTCCTTAAGTGTCACATCTGTGTATCCTTTAAATTCCCGTAAGGGTGGTGACTCCACCACTTCCATGGGCAACCTGTTCCAATACTTGATAACTTTTTCAGTGTAGAAAATTTTCGGTAATATCCAGTCTCAACTTCAGGTCATTTCCTCTCATCCTTTTGAAATATGGCTTGATATTTGTTCTAAGTCCATTGTTCTTGTCATTAACATTGGTCAGAATTAGTAGCAAGAAAACTATTGATATCCTATAATTCATGTTCTGCGTGTTCCCTTCACATAATAATGCCTTGAACCTTACATGGTCAAACGTTGAAAATTTAATTTTATCTCTTTATAAATCTGTTAACCTGTTAGGGATAAGAAGAAGTTTTAATTGCCTATCTAAACCAAAAAGTGATAGAAAAATATTTCTGAGGCAGAAAGTCAATAAATCATAGAATCATAGAAGGTTTGGGTTGGAAGGGACCTCAAAGATCATCTAGTTCCAACACCCCTGCTGTGGGCAGGGAAACCCTCCACTACACCAGGTTGCCCAAAGCCTCATCCACCCTGGTCTTCAACACTTCCAGTGATAGGGCATCTACAGCTTCTCTGGGCAACCTGTTCCACTGCCTCACCAC